GCACCAGCCCAGCAAGCAGGTGCTTGGGGCGGCCAACGGAGAGGGGCGGCACGTCCAGCTCTTCGGTGGCGGGTCCCTCACTCCCTCTCAGAGTGAAGGACCAGCCGCCGAATTGCCGCCGAAGACTGAAGCAGCAGCAGTAGAGCTGATCGCGATCACGGCTTTTTTGTTTTTGTTTTTTTGTTGGTTTTTTTTTGCTGCTTGGGGCGGCAAAAACCCTGGAGCCGGCCCTGATTGCTGGTAAAATTTACAGATGACAAAAATTAGTGAAGTGATAAATATGGATGGGTGTGGGTGAGTTGCACAGAGCTACCTGCATCACTTGGTAAGTTGGGCTCATTTGAGCATGCATTTAATACAGTCAAATGCAAAGTCATAAGTCTAGGAACAAAGAATGTAGGTCACACAAGACAGGGACTATATCCTGGAATGCAGCAACATTGAATAGGATTTAGTGTCATAACAGATAACAAATTGAACATGAGTGTCCAGTGGAATGCTGTAGCTAAGTGAGTGAAACAAGCCTTGGATGTATAAGGAGGGAAATATCAAGGGAAGTTGAGAAGTGATGTTGCCTCTGTAGATGGCATTAGTGAGAACATTTATGGAATACTGTGTTCAGTTCTGATGTCAACACTTCAAAAGAGATGTTGAAAAATAGAGAGGGTTCAGAAAAGAGGCACAAGAACAATATGAGGTCTGGAAGACATCTCCTATAGTGAGACATTGAAGAAGCTCACTATTAGTTTATCCAAGAGAAGGCTAAGAGTTGACTTGATCATCGTCTAACAAGTGCCTTCAGGATGAAGAAATTTCTTTTAGTAGAGAGCTCTTTAATTTTGCAGAAAAAGGCAGAAAGAAATCCAATAGTTGGCACCTAAAGCCAGACAAATTCAGACTAGAAATAAGAGGCAGATTTTTAAGTGTTACCAAATTTGCCCATTACTTTGGGGTATGTTCATTTATTAGGGTTACTCTTCGGGGGGGGCGTGGGGTGTTTGTACTGCTTGTGTCACTTGTGTTCTCATACGGAGCTCTACTTCTCCCTGCTGCAAGTTCCCTCCCAATGGAGCTATCCTGCAGGACCTAGGCTCCCCAGGCTGGGTTCTTCCAGCCCCAGAATCAGACGAACACCCACACCCACACACACACATTAACAGAGCGCTTCTGAGAGCACCGGGTTAATCAGCACTCCCAATCTGACCCCTTATATGTCCCTGGACTCAGTAGGCCGGGTTGAGCAGCATTTCCAAGCTATCACCCTCATCTGCCATGGGCACCGCACCGGAATAGAGCGTGCCTGAGCAGGCTGGGTCAAGCAGCACTTTCAATCTGCCACTCTCATCTATCCCAGGTTCAGCACGTCGCTATCCCCACTTTCACATTACAATTGTTCTGGTAGTAGCCCACTTGATGAGCAAACCCCACAGGATTTTTGGGCGCTGCAGGGATCTTTAGCTTCGGTACGAGGAGCGTTGCTGCAGACCAAATGAGGAAGCCAAAAAACATGCACAAGGTGGGGGGGAGAGAGAGAGAAGCAACTAGCTTAACCATGGAAGTTATTTATTGCCAGGTAATAACCATAGGGGAGCCAAACAAACAACAGTGATAATATTAAATCTAACTTAAATTTGATTATAAAAGTCAGGTTTAGAAAACTATAACTGATCACATAAGTCAGAGTCAGAAGGATATACCGAGAGAGAGAGAGATATGGGTTCTCACCACTCCGTGAAGCTTGAATCGATCGGGGGTTCCAGGTGGTGGTGATAGCTGAGGGTCCGGAGTGCTGGAGACAGGCAGAGCCCCCAGCACAATCAGTCAGGAGAAGATGAAGTGCCAATGGAACTAGGGTGACCAGATCATCCAGGTCAAATAGCGGGATGCGGGATGCGGGGGTGGGGGAGGGGCAGAGGGAAAAAAAAAACAGCGGCAGAGACAAAAAAAAACAACAAACCCCCCCCCCCC